GAGGATGACAGCCCCTCCATGGCTCTGCAGCTACCACAGGGCCCTGCCTCATCACCGTGGATCCAGCTGCCAAAACAGATGCCAGGGAATGTCCCCACATTCCACCTGGACCCCAACCAGCACCTAGCATTCTGGATTGGTCAGTTACATGATTTGCAGAGGGAGGAGATGTGGAGAATCAGATACACTTCTCTCCAGTACTGTTTGATGACTATTCTATTCCTATCCACACTGCTGCTTTTGTAGTAACCTCAAATAAAAATACTGTGTCATGTGCCATCCTAAGTTTCTGATGAGACAGTTTTATAACTTTATCCCCCTCTGCAGTAGCCAACACCCTTATCCATACGTGACTCCTGTCCAGTAGAATATAAAATACCCCATGTCACATTTTAATCGATACCCACCTTCCATGACCATGTGCAGCCCGTTTTGATTTCTATGGACATAAATCAGTTTCAGCACTTCCTGAATATCATAGGATTAAACAAATCACAATGTGCTCCTTGTTGTCCATTTTGACAAAAATGCTCTATCTGATATACATCCTTGTTTCTGTGTTGACAAGCAGTTCCCCTTGTTTAAATGGGGTACTGGGATTTTTTTTTTTTTTTTTTTTGGAGAGGTTTTTGCTATAGGCCACATGCGCTTGCCAGAAGGACAGAGACGGAGAGACAGAAAGTGAGAAATCACCCCCCAGAGGGAATGGCAACTATTTGATGTTTTGTGAGCATATCACACTGTATTTATGGCTATTTGAATTACTTCAAATGTGAGATAGTAAGGAAAGAGCTACTGTAGCTACTTGTCTTCATGCCCTTTTTATAAGCATGTTTTTGTTTGCTGGTGTGTGCTTCAGCCAGATAGAGACAGAGAGCAGGAAAGTGAGAAAGCACCTCCTATGCAGGATGGCCATACTACAGTTGGAATCTCCTCTATTTCTCCTTTCAGGATTCTGGGCACACCCATGCATGTCAGGCTTGTAATTCAAGTTGTGATTCCAAGATTTAAACGTGCAGTTGGCCATTGGGCTCCCTATGCACTAACCACCACACCAGTGGATGACCTAAATGTGTTATTTGCCCTTCATATAGGAATTCTGGGTTAGGGTATGTAAATGTTTCTTGAAGCAACCGTATTGGGCTGTAATTCCCAGTTAATAATGTTTGGCCTTTTAAAAACACAGATTATTGTCTTTTGTATTTGTACACAGTCAATAAAAACCACAGTCTGATTTGAAGAATTCAATAATCCAAAAAAGACACCCCCAACTTTGTTTTAATAACTACATTTTTGTGGTGGTGGTGGTGCTAAAAATACTTACAATAAAATTTACTCTTTGAACAAATTTATACAAAGGCAATACATAAATGTACAAAGCAATTTTGCTAAATGGAACTGAAATAGCACAACTTTCTAGGACTTAGTTACCTGGAATAATAGGAAAATTATCAATTCTTCATTAACTTCTCCTCTAATTCCTGGGAACAACCATTCAACTCTGCTTCTACGTTTCACCTATATTTTTCCTTCTGTTTTATTTTATTTTTAAAGGTTTTTGTATAGGTGTGTGCACTAGCCAGAGACAGAGAGGGAATGTGAGAAATTATCCCTCAGGGGAGAGGGCCATGCCTCAATACTTTCTCCATTTTCTTTTCAGAATTTGGGCTCACACCCACACATGCTCAGTGTAATTCTCAAGCTAACAAGTGAGGGGCTACAACCTAAGGGTTCGCTACATGAGATCCAGCACCTTACCCACCATGCCCTCTGCTGGCCATTTTACCTACTTACAGGATCCGTGTAAGTGTAATCATGAGATATTTGCCATTTCCAACTGGTTTATTGCATTAGCATAAAGTCCTCCGTGTTCACAATGTTGTCATGTGTAATAAGATTTTCTTTAAAATTTATTTTAAATTGAGAAATAATTGTGCTTGGATGTATACATATAGCATGGAAAAATGCAGCGAAGCTAGGTGAAATCAACCAGGCACGGGAAGACAAGCTCTGTATTCTGCCTCTAAGTGAAATGCCAGGACCTTGCTGACTTGGTGATCATAGCTTTGCAGCATATTTTGAAGGACAGTAACATGACACCTTTGGCTCTGTTCAGGTTCTTCAAGATTGCTTTAGCTACATGGAGTCTTTAGTGCTTCAACAAAAACATAATTTTTCTTCCTATCTTTGTGAGAAAAACATTGCCGGTATTTTAATAGGACTTGGATCATTATATTTTAGCCATATTGATTCTCATAATCCATACATAGAAAATATTTTTGAATTCCTTTATGTCTCCAATCCATTTTCTTTCCTTCTCTTTATTTTACATTTTTCTAGAAGGCATGTGTGCTCACTGTCAGGACCTGGACGAGATTGCTTTCCTCTGTGGACCTGGCCGCACCTGGTCCTGAGGCTCCAGGGGTCACTCCTGAGGTAGGTCTCAGCCACAGTCTTCCTTTGGAGGTTCACACTCTAGGCATCTCTCCTCTGGAGTTCTCCTGTATCCTGTGGGATGTCCTGCTCCTGAAACTAGCCACAGACCTGTCTTTCACCTCCATGTCCAGCTGCCAACAAGAGAGGTGCACAGAGGCAACTCAGCTTTCACAGAGAGTCCTTGAAGACCTTAACGTGCCTCTTGCTGGCTGACTGGCAGGGTGGAGGCTGGAGCAGAGCAGCCACAAAATGATCTGGGTGCTCCAGGTTGACAGGACACAGCAGGATGGCAAAGAGTACACAGGAGACCCAAAGGTAGGTACTAGCTGGAGGATCTCATGCTGCTCCCTCCACAGCTTTCTAGCCTGGATATGAACACTTTCCCTCTGTAGGGAGTTCAAAAGGGCCCCTCCTGCTTTTCAGGTACAGAGCAGGCTCAGGCTCTCCCATCTTCCTACAAGTATCATCTCTCTCTCTCTCTCTCTCTCTCTCTCTCTCTCTCTCACTAATGAGATACAATCAAAATAGGATCTCTGTGCTCTTGTAGATGATGGTGGTGGGTAAAGTCCAGGTGTGCCATGTGTCAAGGTCAAGGTCAACGACTTTGTCTCCAGGAAATACCCAGTGCCCTTTGCTGTGGGGAAAGCTCACACATGTTTAATGTGGACAGAGGTAATGAGAGCTGGTGACAGCTACTGTGCTATGAACACACCTGTGAATAACTACAACCTAGATACTCAAACTCCATCAGGGTAGGGGGGTGGCAACAACCCTGCATGTCCACACACAAAACCAATGTCTCAATGTCCTGAGAAAACATGTGCATGCAGTGGACCAGGTGCTGTGACTTCAGTTCCCACAGTGTCTGGGAAGATGGGACCTCTCAGGCAGGGCTGGGAGACTCCTCTCTGCACTGAATCAGGATAGTGGGGAGGGAAGTGAGCTCAGAACCACTCAGACAGGAGGTTTTGGTCTCACTTCCTCTCCATATGTGTCACTGTGGGTTACACGTAGCTGCTCCTACTGCCATGGCTTACCCCACAGTAGTAGTCACTCTCATCATCTTCCTGGAGGTTCTGAATAATCAGCAACCGATCTGGGCCAGAGCTTGAGGCTGAGAAGCGATCAGGAATCCCGTCCCCCTTGGATCCCATAATACCACTAGTGCCCATTCGCATTACAAACCGGAGGCCCTTCCCTGGGCTCTGCTGGTACCACTCCACATCATAGTTACCATAGCCACTGCTCAGGGTGCAGGTAAGTGTGACTGCTTGTCCCAGGGAGGCTGAGGCAGAGGGTGGCTGAGTCAGAGTAGGCTGGGAGAGGGACCCTGGAAACGTAGATCCTCATTAGAGCTCCAGGGGAGAGATAGTCAGTGAAATGTTTCTGGAGAAAGGACAGGGGTGGGATTGGGTGACTGGATGTGGAGGGCCCTTTAGGGGTACTGCCCACTGCCCACTCTGACCTGTGAGGAAGGTGAGGAAGGTGAAGAAGAGAGGAGCCCAGGCCATGGTGGGGATGCACAGTGCTGAATTCTTCAGGCCTTTTACCAGGCAGGGCTCTTTAGCCCCTCTTTAGCATAGGACTGGGCTGGACATGACCCTCCCTGCAAAACCTACATGCAAATCTGCTTCTCACAGAGAGAGGGTCTGTCAAGGTAGGGGCCTCAGAGTAAGACCTCAGTTCTACTTGATTCCAGAGTTTGTCTTCCCCTAGTGGCCAGACACTCACTGTGCCCCTCAGGGCTCAGAGGATCCTTCCTGGAACCCTGAGTCACAGCCTGTTGGTGGAGCACAAGTACTATCCTGGGAACTGTCCACAATGCTTCTGCCCGTCTGCTGTCTGCAATAAAATTCAGCTTCTGAATCACTTTATCCTGGCAACTGCTCAAGGAACATGCCCCAACTTTCTTCTTAGGATAGCTCAATTCTTTACTTCTCATTCAACAAACAATAATAATGTGTACACACAGGCTAATTGCCATTCCTGACTCTGAGGTGAGAAGGGAAGTGGAAGGCCCAGTCCCTGCCCTGCTCTGAGTTTATTTATTCATTCAAAGGAGACATGAACCCCTATTACTGATTGATGCTGAGTGTTTTTCCTGTTGGCTCTAATTACTTCCAGGGAGGAACATGGCACCTCAGCACTCTGGGCAGTTGAGAGATGGTTTCCCACACATACTGTGGTTTATCCACCAGAGATATGGGGAGAAACTAAAACTGCCCAAAGGGGAGCAGGAGTAAGGAAGTTTTTAGAAGTAACTTACATTTTCTTCCTTTTAGTTTCATTATCCAATTTGGAAATTCCCTTCATATAATGAGGTCTTTTGTAACAAAGTCATTGTGGTGGACCCATATACATTACACTGATCATAAATACCTGTTTAGTTTTACCATTCTTATATTTGTATATTTTCTTTGAATCTGCTATGTGTCCATGTTGTATTTATATAAAAATGTTGTTTGAGAGATGTTTTGTGAGATTCTTTTTCCCTCTGAAGGATAGGTTGAACAGAGACACAGGAAAGTGGAAAAAGACACAAGACACTGAGGTCATGTCATTTATTCCCTGAGTTTAGTGGGAACTCACAGAACCCTTAATAGGCTCACAAAGCCATAATAGTGCTCACAAGTGTTTCCTTTCTCTTGGAGCTTATAACATGCAAGGAGAATGCTCACAAAACATTTTTCTTCCTCTTGGAGCTCACAGTGTGCAGTGCTGACCTCAGCTAAGTCAAGGCTGAGCCACGTCAAGGCCAGCAGTGCTCACTAGCCTGAACCGAGCAGACCAGGGCAGAGCTGCTCCTTTTCTCTAAAAGGGGCTGTGTAGACAATAGTGACACACTGCCAAAATCAAACTTTTGCATTATAGTCAATGGTATAAAACAGCAAAATCCTTATTACATAACAAGAGTGAAAGCACAGCACAACTAACAGAAGTTGTTTACCCTGTGACCTTTAAACTTGATAAGAGAGCAGGTGAGGGAGCCAGCCTATCAACCATTCTGGCTACATTTGCAATACTAAGAGAAACAGAAAAGAACAAAATATATCATTTGCGTAGTAGGTGGCATAGTGTTTTCTGTTGTTGTTGGTCTTCCCTGGGGCTCGTTTTTACCCTCAGTGGAGAAGTGTCTTTTTCACCACAAACCTTGTCATTTAAAATGAGTAAGACTGCTCCACCTCCAGTCCTGTCCAATTTGACCTCATGTCAGACCCCCCAAGGATGGCCTTAGCAGACACCTCAGTTAACTCCCCAAGTCAGGGCTAGGTCAGAGTGAGGTTGACCCCCTCCCATGAGGACTAGACAGGAAGCTGCCCAGGTACCAAGATGGACATCAGAGAGAATGCACTCAATCCCTGAGGATTCTGATTTTAGGCCCATAGTGCCTCCTGGTGACCAGAAAAGGTGTTTTCTCAGCTTGGGTGGGCTCAGGCCTTGACAGTCAGAATCTGTTATAACCTAGTAGTAGACTGGGTGACTTTTACAATAGAAATGTATTTTCAGACAGTTCTGGAGGCTATAAGTCCAGCATCATGGCATCAGCAAGCTTGATTTCCCATGGAGCCTCTCTTTGTGGTTGCACATGAACACCTCCCATGTTCTCAAACATGCTTTCCTCCTTTCATGTTGTCTGTGTCCAAATCTTGCTGTCACAGCACCAGCCTTTTTGGATAAGGGCTCCAATTTTATGACCTTATATCATCCTAGTTACCTCCCAAGAGGTCTTATCTTTTTTTTTTTTTTTTTTTTTGGAGAGATTTTTCGCTATAGGGTGCTTTCATTCGCCAGACAGACAGACAGACAGAGAGAGACATAGAGACAGAAAGCGAGAAATCACCCCCCAGGGGGGATGGTCATGCCGCAATCCCTTCTCCTCCATTCTCCTCTCGGGATCTTGGACACACACGCACACATGCCCGGCGTGAGTTTTAAGCCACCGGGTCCGGGACGCGAACCGCGGTTGACTACGTGGGAGTCCAACGACATAGCCATTATGCTAACTGCTGGTTCCCCCAAGAGATCTTATCTTGTAATACAGTCACACTGGGGGTAGGACTGCAACATGTGTTGGTGAAACACAGTTCAGTCCACAGACATCAGTAATTACTATCACTTTTAAATGATTCTCATTTCAGACACACAGTGTCCCCTTGTGGCCAGAGGAGGTGTTGTGTCAGCCTGGGAGGGCTCAGACATTGAAAGTCAGTGCCAAGCCCTGCTTTCTTTAGCCATCATCTACCAGCCCTGAAAGGAGAGTCTGAACAGTGAGTCTAGGGCAGTAACATGGGCTGGATATGAAGAAAGTAGGGGCAGGGACAAAGCTGTGGCAGGCAAGGATAACGTGTGCACAGGCCTGGGCTTCAAAGAGGGAAACTGTGTGAATCTGCTGCACAGAGAGGATCTCGATCACTGAGATGGTCTCCATTTCTATAAACAAAGACCCACATCTGAGTTTAGTTTTGAAATAATAGTAGGAGTAATAATCATAGGACATTACAGTGACAGACCTGAGCATTGCTTTCCTAAGGCTGTTATAACCAAAGAGCAGACTGGGTGACTTTTACAACAGATTTACTTTCTGATGGCTCTGGAGGCTGGAAGTCCAGGGCCACTGCCACAGCTGGCTTGGTCTCCCCTGGAACCTCTCTCCGTGGTTGCATATGAACACCTTCTCCCTCATACAAGCTTTCTTCCTTTCACATTGTTGGTGTCCAAATCTTGCTCTGTTGTGGCACCAGCCTTATTGGATGATGGTTCCACTTTTACAACCTCTTTTCATCTTCATTACTTCTCAAGATGTCCAAATTCTAAACACAGTCACACTGTGGGTAGGACTGCAACATGTGACTTTTAATGGAACACGGTCCACAGAAATAGATAATTATTACTTTTCTTTTTATTAATGAGGATGGGTTATAACAGGGTAAAGTAAGTAAATGTGGACATGAGATTTTTTTAAGTATAATTTTTTCATACATTTCAGACATTTTAACTTTTAATTGTGGTAAATTATAACATTATATTGGAAATATAATCACCTAAAAGAGTGCAAGCATTAATCAGTTTGAAATGTACAGTCCAGTGGTGTTTAGTCCATCTACAGCATGGTCCAACCATCACCATTATCCATGTCCAAGAGTTTTTCACTGCCTCAAACAAGAACTCTACTATTGAAATAGTGACATCTTCTCCTCCCTCTGAGCAGACCCTGGTGACCAATGGTGAATGATGGAAATATCCAATTGGATATGGAGGAAGCACTCAGGTCTCCATGAACCCAGTTCAATGCAGTAAATGCCAGATATGAGGGAGCAGCTCCCCTGGTGGCCCCTAGGAGATGCTGTTTGACTGAAGAAGGCCCATTCTCTGGGCTGAGCTTCTCATCATTTAGGGACATTGTGAACATTAACTACCCAACAGGGGCCACCATGGCAGTGTGTCCAGCAGGTCCAATTTTCCCTCCCACAATGTGTCAGGAGGAAGCACTGAGAGCTCTAGGTGCTTACTGTTACAGTTGACAAATGATTCACTATTTCCTCCTCTCTGCTTTCCCTCCAATGCCAGAGACATGTTTAATAACCTGTTTTCAGCCCAGTTCCTCCAGGGTGGTCAGGTGGAGTGTTATGCATAGAGATACTCCTTAATACTATGCTGAAGAATGTTTGAATTTATGGTAAAAATGGCACAAATCTGTATATTTATTATCCTATATGATTCTTGATATCTCATTGTGGTTTTGACCTGTATCTCCCTCATGATGAGGCATGTTGAGCATTTTTTTAATATGCCTTTTGGCTATTCATATGTCTTCCTTTGAGGGTTGTTTTTTCAGCTTATTCTCTCATCTTTTAATTGGGTTGATCATCTTTTTTCAGGTAAGCTGCTTGCGTTCTATGTGTATTCTGATTATCAGTCCCTTATGTGAAGCATAGTTTACAAAAATATTTTTCCATTCTGAGGGCTGTTGATTCACACTAATTACTGTGTCTTTTGCCATAAATCTTCTTAATCTGATGTAATCCTACTTGTCTATTTTGGAGATTATTGATTGTGATGGGGGTGTCTTATTTAAGAAGTCTCCCTACCACAAAGTCTCCCAGTTTCCCCAGTGTTTTCCACCAGTAGTTTATAGTTTGAGGTCTTAGGTTTAGATCTTTGATCCACTTTGAGTTGATTTTTGTCAATGGTGAAAGGTAGGAGTTTAGATTCATCCTTCTGCAGGTGGATATCCAGTTTATCCAGCACAATTTGCTTAAGAGGGTTACCATTTCCCACTGGGTTGATTGGTACCCTTTGTCAAAAATCAATTGGCTATATGTTTGGGAGTCTGTTTCTGGGGTCTCTATTCTGTTCCATTGGTCTACATGTCTCTTTTTGTGCCAGTATCATGCTGTTTTGATTATCACAGCTTTATAGTATAATTTCAGGTCAAGGAGTGAGAGGCCCCCACTCCACACTTCTTGCACAGGATTGCTTTGGCAATATGAGGTCTGTTATGATTACAGAC